GTGTGTGTGTGTGTGTGTGTGTGTGTGTGTGTGTGTGTGTGTGTGTGTGTGTGTGTGTGTGTGTGTGTTTTGCGAGAACATGAAGCCTCGACGCCAAAAACAGCGCAACAAACTATACAATACAGAACGCCTTCTCAGATAATGCAGATCCTTGAACAATGGTTATTTCGCATGTACGAAACTAATTACTATGGGGTTGCACCAAGTACACCCCTTTGCCCGATATTTCCAACCATGAAATATTTGTGCTATCAGTGAGAACAAATGGAACCACGTCTACTTGGAAGGTATGATTATGAGCAGCTGAGGCCGTCGAAACAGAATCCAGAAGAGATGTAAGGACGGAATCATGAGGTAAGGAAATCAAATACACATAAACGTAAAAAATTGAGACCCGCTTTTTGGCATAACCAGGTAAGTAATCTCACACAACATACAAATAGAATACGCGAACACTTCCCCGCGAATGACCCCATAAATGGTAACTTTCGGCAAATCATTCATACATAACACTCGCAGCTACCCATACTTTGTTAAATATCCCCCGGTGACGTATGGTCAAGAAAAAAAATTCACAACCCCATAAATGGCAATTTTCGGAGGAAGATCATTTACCTATATGCAACACTCGAAATTACCCTTCATATGTCATGTATTTCTTGGTGAAGTATGGGTAAGGAGTAACCATACACTTAACCAAACCAACCCCATTTCAAAGTTCATATTACTCCAACCATTTTTCAACATACCACCAAATTACGAGAGCTGTGACGTAGATCAATCACAAGTTTCAGAAAAAAAATAAATCCCCAGAATATCATCGACACTATCACGCTTTGCGCAAATGAAAAAAGCGACCGAGTTGTCGTCAGACCGGATTACATCGATTATAGTGAAGATCCCTTTCCCTCCCAAAATTCGCACCACTCTTCTTGCATTTATCTGCAAATCCTTTCTCCACTTCACGTCATTACCTCTTAACGTATCTACTGCTGAATTGCCGACTAAACTTATCTACTGAGGATTAACAGGTCTACACCAAAGTCGGATTAAGCGCGACACAATCATTTCGGTCATTTAATCTGCTCGGAATGATACAATTATCCATTTAAACCATCCCTTCCCAGATTCTTCACCAATCCACTTGATAACAAAAGCATACAATAATTTAACAACCAAACGCGATAATTATTACGGAGAAAAAACGACCACAATAAAACCGAACCCATTACCCCATCGTCATGATCAACCTGTGAACCGGCCACGTGTCGTAGCGAGGATTTCACACGACCATTAATTTCATAAAGCCAGTCACTCTTATCCGCGTAAATTGTTGATTAACCTCCAATGCTCTATTTATACAAATCCAAGATGAATATCAGAAGGATTCAACACACCACATACATGCACTCTAAAAAACGTAGAGCTACTGGACAATGTATGTTCCCCTCCACCCCCCGAAATTGCATAGGCAATTTTTACAAAGTGTTCTACCGGCCCGAATCAGTCACCCAAAAGATTCAGTTACCAATGCAGCATCATTTCCCTCTCCACCCGGTTAATTATCTGGCTTCCGAATGCGCATACGGTCAGGGTGTGCAACCTCCGTCCAGCGAGGCAAGTGCAATCAGATCGGCAACCAATAATGCGCGGGGCGGAAGCAAAGCAGGAGTAATGTTGAGGATCTAGTCATTTTGTAGGCTATCAGAGCCCCAACAGCCCATACCGAAAGAACTATTGCGATATCGAAGACCCGCTGTAAAGGTATGTCACCCTTCAGACACACCCCATCCTCAGAAGACCAAAGTTTCTAACAGGTGTGAAGACATGCCATTATTACCGAATAGAACCACGTGCTAACTACAAAAAGGAGAACAGAGAAGACAACGATGAAGCCTTCCATTATTCTACTTCTTTCGACCAAACTTATGCAATGTGCTTTTCCCCGACGAATTATTGCTCACGTAGCAGAACCCGCAATCGTTCACACGAAACAAAGAAAGTTCCATAACAGCAAAGAAAGTTAATAGCGCCAGAAAAAGGGCAAAGATAGACACTATCGCAATGGAGACGAATGTTGTTTCTATTTGGAGGGCTTCACTTCTGTGAGCTATCCATGCTTATCGAGAGCGCACAAGAGCCTAGTAAGCCACATCTCACAAACAGATAATCAACAACGTAACACAAAAGGACAAGAGGACAAACACAGGTTAGGTAGCACCATAATTTGTTTACATAGGATAAAATCATAGAAGAGAAGTCCCATTTCAACTTGACGACCCCATAGTGTCGACGAAACAGTAGGGTAATTAGTAGGAAGTCCCTAAAGCTTTTTCACCAATCACTACAAAAATTGGTTCATCAAGGAGATATTACCCTTAGTTATCGTGTCAAAAGGGACAGGGCTTTCTTTGAAGCCAAGGATAGGAAAAGGTAGGCAAGGGGCGATGGAGGGTGTGAGGAGGTAAATGATGGAATTACCACTCTTGATGATGTTGCCGTATCGCCAATAATCGAATCCTATCGCCACAAAAGTCGAATTCAATGCTTTAATTCTCACTGCCACGTAGATAGATCGGAACTTTTAGCCAAGAGGCGGATGATAGCTAGCATGCATCAGATAGCATAACCGGGAGAAGCGGGAGGTGGCCGATGAAAAACTTCGTAGGAGGGGGAACATTTATCAGGAGAGCGGCAATGATACGAAGTTTCCTTGCCGCCGGAACCATGTCGCGCTGTTGTGCGGACCTTGGCCTCGTGAACAACGATGAACCAAGGTGCCGCCACCAAAGGTACATCAGAAAGCGAGGACTATTCACGAGAACCACAACGAGTTATATACTTCCGATTGGTTCGTTTGTTTCCATCGTTTCGACGCTACGCTTGCAAATGCCAAAACTAGAACCGTGGAACCAAGCCCGTGGGGGAGGATCCGGGTGGGGGCCTAAAAGGATTTTTTTCTCGTATACCAAGTATTAGGCTGGGCCCATCGAGGGAGGTCGAAATATCATATTAAAACCACCCAAAAAAATGGTTCTAATTGCAATTTTATTATTTGTTTTTTAATTCATATATGTCAAAAAAATCCTTTTTATACATATGAACAGAATAAGACAGACATTTTCATATTTCTTTGTTTTTTTTTTTTTATGCAAATAAGG